GAAAAAAGGAACTCAGAAGGTGCATTAATACTTTTATTTGTCTGGCATCAGTAAGAATGTCAATCAACTAATTAAGTCATGTGAAATGTCGACTCCATCATCCTTAACAATTGCGAGAACTTCTCCATCCACACAAGATTTCTTCTGAGCCTGATGCAGGATTATCACTGGTTCTTTCCATGTTCAAGGATATGATCAATTCTGGTGACTGACTACTTCACTAAGTTCCCTTTTGTGTGACAAATCAAGGATACCACCAGTGTAATGGTTGTTGACAAATTCACCCCCATATTCATTATGGTTGGTGTTCTTCAACAAATTTTATCTGACAAAGGTCCAAAATTCACTAGTCCTTCTGAGACATGCAGGAAAAGAGGTGTTAGACTTGTTGTCACCTTTTCATCTAACATTAATTGAACAGACATGCAGAATGCTCTGCTTTTAGCATAAAATCCATGATAGTCCGGTGTAAAGTGACTTGTCAAGATTTTTGGACAACTCTGCTAAATCAACGTGCTATTCCTCAAGGTATTGGTTTAGCTTCAGAAGCAGCTCTCACGTTTGGGAGACAGATCCACATAGTTCTTCCATTCCACTCTCCTATCTCACATGATGCACTATTGGGAAGGAGGAAAATAATGTGAGAGAGCATAATCAATGAGTATGCAGACAGTTATCCCAAGTTGAACCAGGTCAATGCACATAGGTTTGAAATATTGATACTAACTTGTGTGTTTATGGAAAAATACCACATTGTTGTGTCCAGCCTAGGTTATATGACATTTTAATGAGCAATGTTCAAGTCCTGAAATAGGTGACATATCTGAACCGCATGTCATCAACCATCCATCACATGGTGGCAGCTTGGATCTGAAAATAGCAGAACAGATAACAACCATACATATTCATTAAATTATGCACTTCCATCTGTGATGACAGACCACAAATGGCTGAATGAAGCTACGCAACCAAGTCATGATAACTCAATAAGGACCAGCTTGGACTGTCAAACATTTGCCAAGGCAATGCATTCATGCATGGTGATATTGTGTCTACTGTACCTGTTTATTGGAAAAGGGGGATGTTATTTGATTGCACAGTAGGCAGTGTGACTTTAAGGCGTGATATTAAGACATCTTTTGCTCCAGTCTAGAGATCCTCACTTTCACTTACTCTATTTCAGTGCAGTGGAGTAAGCGGAGTGTCTTTAGTAGGCTGTGTAAATATAATGTAACAGTAATAGTAAGCAGAGAACTGGAAAACGTATAAGTCTGCTTCAGAATCTGAAGAATTGTGAAAGTGCCAAACTTTGCGCAATCATCCACAAACATCCATGTTCAAATTCAGCAAGACCTGGGCAATATCCAGGCTTGGGCTGAGAAGTGGCAAGTAACATTCGTGCGACACATGCCAGGCAATGGCTATCTCCAGTAAGAGAATTTAACCATCTCCCCTTGACGTGCAATCATCTGTGAGCATCCCCACTTCTGACGTTATGATGAAGGGAAGGCCATTGATGAAGCAGCGGAAAATGGTTGGGCCTAGGACTCTACCCTGAGAAATTCCAGTAGAGATATTCTGGATAATTGACCTCCAACAACCACAACCATCTTCTTATGTGCCAGATATGACTCCAACCAGAGGAGAATTTTCCCCCTAATTTTCACTGACTTCCATTGATTTTGCCTAGGAGATAAATATTCTGACTTTTTAAAAATTGTTAGAATTGAATTTTATCCCTGATCTCTGATCTCTGATGTCCTGCTAATGAATGGTTTCTTTAGGGTGTCTGTGACCTGAATTCAGTTCCGGAATCGAGCTACTTGTGTTGCACACACATTCATACTTTAAATGATTAAGCCCCAAATCCAAGTTATATAGAGCTTAGTGAGATCATTACAGAGACCAGTAGATTAGTAACAAATCATGAGGTTATTATGAATTTAATAGTAATGCAACAAATTTATATTTCTTAAAAATCCTATATTTTGGATATTCAGAAATAAACCACTTAGATTTGAGTGCTGCTATGCTTGAGATTATCACACTCCAGAAATGTGCAACAGGAGTTCAAGCTTGGAAGTAAGTAAGTTTTTTGGATGGTTTAGAATGTCTTTAACAAAACAGCATGGTAAAAGAGCTGGCTAGGCAGCAGATTGTTGAGGGATATTAGCTTTTATGGTCAGTCACATGCCTTTGTTACAGCATTCTTGTCCTGTAGTTACCCCTGTTCCTCAGTAATTTATTATATTCAGTCCTTATAACTTTGTGCTTCTTCCCACAATCTTTCTCTCCTTTTTTGAGAGGTGCCTCACGTAGATGTCCAGTTTTGTGAGTTGTTCCCTGATACCTTGCAAAAGCGTCTTTCTGGTTGAGCACCTGTTTGTGAACCACACTTGAGTTTGCATTTTTATTCCCTTTGTCCACAGGCTGAATTGGAGCAAAGACTTTCCTATCTGATAGATTTGAGGTGTTTTCCTGTTGCCTGCCTCAATTAAATAACAATGTCAAAGCTTAGCTCATTAACATTTCAATGATCTCGGTGACTTATGGCTCTATTTTTTAATAAAAATTGATTTTTTGTCACCATGTTTCAGGCTAGGGACAGGCTGATAAGGTCTGTAACCTCAGCTGGTATGGGAATTGAGCCCATGCTGTTGGCATGACAAGACAGCTGTCTAACCAACTAAGCTAACCAACCCCATATTTCAACAACTGTCGCATTTCAAGTCAAATATGACTCTCTCTCTTTGGAAATTTGAGTACTTTGTTTTTTAATCTGTTTAGTATTTATTGGGTACTGAGTCACCGGGATTAGGAAGGTTCCTATTTCAGTATTTGCTCTGTGCAGTGTTAGTTGTCAGGATAATGGTGAAGACTTCTAAAATGCTGTCAGACCTTTCTTGTGCAGTGGCTAAGATGGGCTAGTCAGCCCATTGTTTGTGCCTACCCTCCTAACGAGCAGTTCATCTAGTGCTACTACCTGCCTTTTCTCTGTGGCCCTGAAATTTTTCATTTTCAGATCATGAATCAATCCCCCCCGAATGCCTCGACCGCCACATTGTCAGTGCAATCCAGATCTTAACCACTCACTACACAAATCTGGAAGATCTGCTCTGAATTGTTTCTTTAGTGGGTAGCTTTCCGGGGATTTGCAGCCACCATCACGATGTAAACTAAAGGTTCACTTCTACAGGGGTATGGGATCAGAGAGATTTGTTGATTTGTTGAATCATTGAACATGGTTCATAAAGCAACAGAATCATGGAGTTTAAAGCAACCTGTGTCAGTGTTTCTTTTGCTTATTACCTTAAGTCAATTTCCTTTGGTACTCGATTCTTCCACCAGTGGGAACAGCTTCTGTCTATCTACAGTGTCCAGATCCCCTCTGATTTTGAACACCTCTCTTAAATCTGCTTTTAACCTTCTCCAGGGGGGAAAACCCCAACTTCTCCAAAGTTTTTTATGTTGAAGTCCCCTATCTCTAGAACCATTCCTTTGTTTTTATTTCTGCACCTTCTCTATTGCCTTTGCATATTGCCTAAAGCGTGTTTCCCAGAACTGGATGCAATATTCCAGTTGAGGCCAAATTATTTCATACCTGTGAAACTTAACTTCCTTGCTTGAAACTCTACAGCTCTGTCAATAAAGCTTGGGATTCTGTTGTTTTATTTACCACGCTCTGCATATACCCTGCAACTTCAGTGAGGTTTGGAAATATATAACCCAATCCCTCTGATCCCGTACCCCTGTAGAACTGAACACTTCAGTTTGGAACATTGTAATGGATGTGACTATTAGGAAAAATTCTCACTTCTTGAATGAAAAGCTTTGTCATTTAAGGAAACAGTTTTGTGCAGTTCTTTCATGGGGATTATTATCTATGTGGGAGCTACATGAGTCTGGCATTGAAGGTCTGGCATAGGGGTGGCACGGTGGCTCAGTGGTTAGCCCTGTTGCCTCACAGTGCCAGGGACCCAGGTTCAATTCCACCTTCAGGCAAACTGTCTGTGTGGAGTTTGCACATTCTCCCCATGTCTGTGTGGATTTCCTCTGGTTTCTTCCCATAGTCCAAAGATGTGCAGGCTAGGTGGATTGGCCATGCTAAATTGCCCGTAGTGTCCAGGGATATTTGGGTTAGACATGGGGAAATGCAGGGGTAGGGAAGTGAGTCAGGGTGGGATGATCTTCAGAGGGGTGGTGTGGACTTGTTGGGCCGAATGGCCTGTTTCCACACAGTAGGCATTCTGTGATGATTCTATGAAAGAACTTTCAACATCTCATGTACTGCTTTTAGCTTTTGGTGGAGCAGCAAGATTTTCTTCAAAGGAAACAAATGACCTTGTCTGTGAGGAGAGGAATATTTTTTACAGCATAAACTAAGTATAATGTCACTCTATTTCTTGATTAAAATTGTTTTTTTTTAAATGATTCGCTCTTCCTTTTAAGTGGTTGAATTTATTCAGTGTTCTGCATTGGAAACATTTAATAACTGTGGTTAAAACAAACTAAGTTGGTCTTTACAATAACAGTATTAGTGAAATTTTGCTTTTGTGTTATCTGATCTTGGAGAATTTATTTTAGTTCCATGAGCCAAGTCTATGCTATACCATGAGTCCTGTAGTATAAAGCACAACAATTCTTGTATCACACATACCTATGTCTTTAACTATTTGGATGTACTATTGACATTGTGCTGTCTGGAACATAGCGCCAACATTGTGTTGCATGATCTACATCACTGCCAAGTTGTACACTACCTACTGCCGTGATTACTGTGTTGTGTTGTACTTACCACTGTACCTATATTTAATCGGACATGTAGACACAAAATGCTGGAAATACAGAACAGCTCAGATGGTACCTACCCAAAGAGAAACACGGTTGGTGTTTCAAGTAAATGACATTCTGTTTTAGATTTTGGTGTCACTTTGACTCTGGTACTCTGAATTAGATTCTAGATTAATTCTCTTGTTTATATTTTGACCCTTATCTTGTAGGGATGTTGTTCTGAAGCTCCTTCAGTATGAAGCCTCCACCAATGTGGCAGATAACAAGGGTTGCTTTCCACTCCATTTGGCTGCTTGGAAGGGCGACATGGATATTGTGAAAATTCTAATCCACCATGGGCCATCCCATTCCCGAGTGAATGAGCAGGTGGGCTCTGAATGTTTGGTGCTTCCTGTTTTCCTTTTAAAGGTATTTTAAGTGCAGATTTGACTGGTGATCTCCTGATTTTACAACCTAATGGACATTAAATACTTGCATTTGATATTTGAAGAAGATCTGTCTTTTCGTTTATTGATTTTGAAATTCTGGAATGTGGATTAATTTTCAGAAGTACAATAGAATGAAGTACATTTTTAAAACTTGCACAAGAAAGTTTAGTAACTTGCTGTCAACATTTTCAGTAAAGTTTGGTTGTCTGGTGCCTGTATATTGAGTACCAGAGGTACTGTGTAGTTCAAAATAATGTTTACACCTTCTAAACATTTTTCTAGTGCAAGACAGTGGTTATTAATTTGAGAGGGTCATTACTCTTGATCCTGGGAGTGTGTCACGTGGAAAGATTGTGGCATCAGGCAGCATGTAACACACACTTATCCCCAGTGCTCCGCATCATACTCTCCATTAAAATAAATCTTAAAACCTGCCTCTCTGAGAAAGCATATGGTCTTGTGCCTTAATACACCCTTACATGGATTAGTGTTGGACTTTGTTTTGTGATGGGCCCCTGTAAAGTGCATTGGAATGTATTATTGCATTAAATGGATTAATGCAAGTTTTTGATGTTTTCACACCACCAACACCTTGTTGTTTGTCCTCCATTTTTGTATCATTGAGGTGACCGACGAAATGTATGTAAAGAGAGGGAGTGTGTTGTGTTCTTCAGCAAAGGTAAGCAAAGTAGAGTGAGCAAGTGGCTTTTCCGGGATTACATGGCTCCCTTTGTGCAAAGTGTCATTAACTATCCAGCTCTCGCTCTGTAGGTCCTGCTTGTGCATTGAGACATGTATTGCAACTACAAAGGGTCCACACTCTCTATGTCTGTTTGGCATTTGACAATACTGATAATGTAGTCCAATGGCCAGGATTATGCCAGTGGGCATTGTGGTTTTTTTTTCTCTGCCAGCTTGTTGAACTTAGCATTAGAACCATAATGAGAAACTGGAGTGTGGCTACTGGGCACCAGGTACAATCAACCTGACTCACAATTGCAGTGTATGCTTTAACAAGAGCCATGCTAACATGAAACAACAGTGAGTACATTATTAACCATTACCTCGGCTTCCTAGCCCATTCTTGGGAGGAGCCATGTAGTATTTCATGGAACTAGAGCTATAATTTGTTGTGTTCTGCTACAATCTACGTAATCTCGCCATTCGCTCTACTTTGAGCAACTGTGTAGGAGGAAGCTGTGAAACATCCAGCACATTGCCTTTCTGCCTGCAGTATGTACAATAGTAGCTTAGCTGCTTGCAGTACTAATGAATGCAATTCCAATTCTTCATTCACCAACTGTCCCACACCATGTTATACATCTGTTACTGGTCACCACAGCATCCTCCCAGCCACAGGGCTGAAATAAAAGACATCTCTAAGACAATATTCTTTATTTCTTACGGAACGGTTGGTTTGTTACAAAAGTCATGTTCACCCTTGATCATTCTGTTGCTGCTGATTCTTTGTGTCATTTCCTCTCCTGATGGTTGTACTCACAGAGCTACCTTGGTTGTTGTTACGTTGCTTGCGAAAAGCTGCAGACACTCACCAGAGGAGAGACACCTTTTGCACACCTCTGTCCCTAGAAGGCCTGGCTTTGGATTGCACCAGCTTGGCATAGAAGGCAGGAGGCTAGGCTGCTGGTGGAGTAGCAATGGTAGGAAGCAGAGCCTGTCATCGTGAAAGAGGGCAACAGGTTTGTGTTCCACATGGCTGCTAGCACAACCCCAGGGTGACCCTTCAGAAATCTGAGCAAGCTGCTGCTGGATGGATTGCTGGTATGGGGCTGCAAGCCCTTTACGACCCTGATAGCCAGGGTGATGACAACAGCAGTTGGAGTTTGCATGGTAACGAGCTGAGCTTTTGTGACTTCAAGTGCAGGACTCGACTGTTGTGTGACTTCTACTGTGTGTTGCACTGGAATTTGAGACATTGACTCTGACTCTGAGGCACTGGTTCATAAAGTAGTGGAGCTGTGAGATATGGGAGACTTGCAACAGTGGAAAGTGTGAGGGTCCAGTGAAGTATGAGTGATAGATCATAGCTCTTGTTGGTAAATGTGTGAGGGTAAGGAGTCACTTGGTGGGGTATGACATTGGTGGATGAATTCATTGACCATGACCACTTAGGTGATGGAATTGAACTTCTTGTGACACTGTATTTGGGTCATTTGAGCTATCTGCTCTGACTTTCTTTTCCAGTGTTTAAGAAGCCTCCTGATTCCCTGTGGATCAAAGACCTCTTTCTTTCCATCCACTTCCTGCACTAAGGCTGAGTCGCAGAACCTTGGAGCCCACTTCATGTCTTTCCCAGAGTGAAGTCATTGACTTCCACCATCTCTTCCTGGGAAAGTGTGCTTCCTCTTTAAGTGCTGCAGGCCAGCCTGAACTTCAAGTTAGCCTTTCAGAATTCGTGACCCCCAGCTTGTACATCATAATTATGGAAGTTAGCAGACATCAGGAAGTTTACTCCTGCCTGCATCAGAAGGGGCTGTCACGTGTTAATCCCAAATTGCAATCCCTGTGCCTGTTTTGGTGGGCGGTAGTGCTATTGAATGTTGCTGCAATGAAGTTTAAGCTTCTGTTATTATCTTGCTTGAAATTTTGTTTCATCTCCTTGAAATTTGCTGAATCTGTTTTTGTTTTGTTGAGGAGGTTTCAATCCATCCCCTACACTGATGCCAGGAATGTCTAACTTAGTAAAATAATCATACACCATTAATACATTGTACATTGAATTCAATCTACTGGTCAGGAATTTGATATAACACGGCATTCATCAATTGCACATTTAATGGGAGGACAAGTTTAAACCACATGTGACCTCTGCACGAGAGATTTAGTTGCTTTGGTTCAATAGCAAACCGACATCAGCTTTTCAATGTTTGTATGCTAGCTGGTGGAATGTTAGCCCTTCACTTAATTTCTAACTGATGAAATGCTAGCACTGGTCACAGAGGAAAGCAGTACAGTGGTCTCCTTAGAATTCTTAAATTTCAATAATTATCCTGGAACTAATTTTATAACTTTTTTTCCCTTAATTATTCTTGTTCATTTTTACCTTGTCATAGTTTTGACTATAGCCCTCAATCCTGTATATTCTTCACCATTTCTGATATTGTTCCTTGCACAGTCTCCATCTGTCAACTTGCTTCTTGTTCTCATTCTTTCTCTGCCATACCATCCAACACTTCTCTCCATAAAGTTCATTTCTCCTGTGGCTTCTGATTTCAGTTAGTTTTGCACAAAATGTAATATTGTATGCCAGAACTGCTATTGCTTGCAATAAATTTTTCACATCAAGTTCAAACAGAAGAAGAGACTTGCAGCTGTATAGTGCCCCATCACACCTCTCAGTAACATTCTAGAGTTCATTCTTTACATTTAATTAATTTGAAAGTTACTTAAACCAATATGGTGCCTAATATATTGACAGCAAGATCACAGAAATCAATGAGATTGTTGGGATATCTCTTTCTGGCATGATAATGTTAGTGACACTTTTGTCTCCATTGGTCAAGAGATATGCAGAATGACACCATAAACTATTATTAAGATTGCTACAGGGACTTATAGCTTCTCGTAAGAAATTTGAAATTGCTGTGACTGACCTAAAACACACGCGACAAGGCTTCATGTTTTAAGACTTTTGCTGGAGCAGGAGACTAAAATCAACAAGGACCGAGCACATTAAACGAAAGAAAAGACTTAATAATGTGACTGAAAACCTCATGTCATATTATACGTCAAACTGCATTCTCTGTAGAATTGTATTATTTTTACAGGAATCGGTCCAAAGTTACTCCAAGCCTTCTACGGGCTCCCTTCTCCCCATTTTACTGAGTGCACATAACATCTCCTGTCCTTGGAAAGTAGCTTCCTGCAGTCTTCTGAAAATCCCTGAACTGACTTAGTGGTAAGACCCACTTCCAATGCCCTTAAATCTGCGCAGGTTCCATTGCCACAGGACCTCCTATCTGTCCATTGTTTCTGCAAGTCTGACAGGGCTAAGTGATTCTCTCTTTGGCTCCAGATATTAAAAAATTGGAACATACTTCCAACTGGGCTTGAATTGGGCCGCTGTCCCCATGGAAATCAGGTCATTTGGGCTTTTTGTCCATCAGAACTGGTAGGAGATCACATGCCCCTGCCCACGATGCCTTTTACCTCTTCAAAGAAATTGCAGTTTTGACAGTTTGAGCCCTCCCTTTGCACTATGTTAGAGTGTCACCTTAGATTATATGTTCAAATCCTGACACAATTTTGAACCCACAACCCTCTGTCTCAGAGGAAACATGGATTACCGAAAAAAAAAGATTAATGAGCTGAACCTGCTGTTTCGCAGGCCAAAGATGAAGGATTATATTGACTGCCAAGTTTAAATTACAAATTTAGATTGATCCGAAAGGAGACAGTCTAAAACATAACCACCTTATAAAGTCTCGCAGGTGTAACACTAGATATAGAGGCTTTCAGCTTAAAATGAGCGAAATCATTTTACTTTCCTCACCCATATTTGTTTAGAAGTGGTTAGGAATTGAATAATCTGTGCTGTATATTGTTTGTCTACAAGTGCTACTTTTTTTTAAGCTTGGAATCAAGCTGCACTGATTTAACTGAGATTTGTTAAGTGACTTTGCCTAAAATGTCTTCATTTACAAAACAGTCAAACTTGTTGAGTGATTTCCTTTCATCATCCTTTGGCTTCCTTTCAAAAACAAGCATACCAGAAACTGTTAGCACACCGGCCAATGTGTTGGAAAAAATACATGACACTTGAACATTCTGTACTTCCCACCTCAGATTCTCATGAGAGTTGATAAAGGAGCTTTCATTTATTGCAGTGTTAATCCCACTGTTAAGGAAAATGGAAATCGTACTTGCGTATATTTTATTTTCTCTTTCGAGCTAATTACATTTTTAACCCTACTAAAC